CCCCTGTATGACCACCAAGTAAGCTTCTCGAAATATGAACTTCGGGTCGTAGCTCACTGCGCGCCGTAACCAGTTGAGTCAATGATCACCGTGGTCTGTCAGTTGAGGTGGTCGTCCACGTCACGTAGCTGCTAGTCCTGTCCCTGATCAGAAGACGGTGTCCGGTGGCCACAGAAACCGCTGCCCTAAAATACACGTACAGCTATCCTAGCACACGCACAGCAAACGGTACCTAAGTTCCTAGGCCGCGTGCACGTAAGGGAATCCGTCGAGATCTATTGCCAGATCGCTCGCGCGTGATCCCGGGGGCTCTTAGTACCGGGGGCTAACTCCACTACCCTCTCTTTGGGGACACGTCACGACGTTGCGGGCTGCTGATACCGACGATCCTACGGGGCTACAATACCCGTCTCTCTGACACACTCTTGGGAAACCCTCACACTCAAGGACTAACACTGCGATGACACTGGCTAACTGGCTAACTGGTTGTTGTACTTGTCTTCTGCGCGAAACGTATCAGACCGATACGCTCGTGGCTCTCTCTGGAAGCACTTGCCTGCTTCTCTGCTAATCTCGAACTGAGGCTATCCCTCTACTACCACATGCACTTGGTCTCCCGCTCCCTCATTCAAGCAACAGCGACTCCTCACGAAGATCGCCATTCGCCGCACACTTGCCTTGAGTATACCGGGTCGTCTGGATCTTCAACCGGTTGCTCCTTTAAGGTGGCAGCTGCTCGAAGGTGGATGTTGACTTATCCACTTCACTGTCTTGTCCTCCTGTCCGTTGATCTCCGTCGCTCCTCGCCTGCCGTCCATGTCTGGATAAGATGAGCCCCCAAGAGGATTTCATCCGCTTAATCTATCTAAAATTTTGTAGTTCGAGTTCGTCAGCTCCAAAATACTACTGGCGGTGCCACAACGTTTACTATTGGTGTCCGCTAACAGTTTCTAGCCGCCCTAAAGTGGGTGCTGATGCGTTGCATCGAATATTATCTCGGGACAACCCCTCTAGCCTCAGGATTGATTCTGTATTCTACAGAATAAGCATATCTTGATTGAAGTACGAAACTGCTTGACTGTTGCGAATTTACACAAAAGCGTTTCTGTGAACGACTGTAAGGATACTGTCTATGGACTGACCTAGAATAGTTCGTAAAATGAATAGTTCCGTAAGCTAACACCTATAGAGTGCGATTATTCGTCTCGTTACCTCGATTTAATCTTACAGGACTACAGTGTTCTGGATTACCGGTATTTGATAGTTGGTCGCTGCTCAAGCACCTTTTGGAACGAAGAAATAACACCAATGCTGCCCTCCCAGGACGCGAATGTGTTACCAGTGAGGCTACAGGGCAGGTTTTTATTCTAATAGTACAATGTGCCC